CTGTAAATACTAAAATTATCTTTTAAAATTTTTTAAAAATTCAAATTAGCCTTGTAAAAAAATCTTTTGGAGAGTCGCTGCTGACACGCCCCTTATTCTTAGAACTTAGGGGTATGAGCCAGCAAAAAATGTTAATAAGCATCCTAAAAAATTGCCGGAGCGCCTGACTAACGCCATGCACCTTCACTTGAAAGTTTTTTGTCCCCCCCCCCCCCACCCGGACGGAAATCCTACGACCGTCACTGGTAACTACGCAAGTATTCAGCTAAACTTCCCCTGAAAAAAGTTCTAAGTGAGATTTTTTATCCATCTACCGTAAATCTACCGAAACCCCTTTTTGAAAGGTATTTTCAAGCGGCTATAATCGTGATTAACGTGCGGAATTACCCTACGAAGCCAACTTTCATGAAATCCTTGATTTTGGGTAGTCTAATCTCTTCTCAGCTATAAACCGCTGTAGTGAAAAACGCGCAATGTGATCGCAATCAACACACCGCATAACGCTACTGAGCCAACCAATTTTAGATCTGTTATGGGACTTTGGCTTTCACGATTCCTACAATAGCCCTGCTTTATCTCTACGCAACTAGCGCAGCGAATAACCCCGTCAGACCAAGTTTCAGCCAATTTTGTGACTTTCGCCCAACTACCGTATTCCTACCGTAACCTCGCTATGTGGGTGAATGTCGAAAAATGAGCATCGGATTCGTGATCAACGTGCCAAGAAACCCCACAGTACCAATTTTCAGCAAATTCCTTGACTTTCGCCCAACTACCTATCCCTACCGTAACCTCTTTATGTGGTGGAAAGGCGAAAAATGTGCATCGGATTCGTGATCAGCGTGCCAAGAAACCCCACAGTAAAAATTTTCACTCGATTTAGTAATTTTCGCCCAACTACCGCATAGCTACCGTAATTACGATTTGTGGCCCCGTAGCGAAAAATGACTATCATATTCGTTATCAGCGTGCCAAATAACCCCACTGTACCAAGTTTCAGCCAATTTCGTGACTTTCGCCCAACTACCGTATCCCTACCGTAACCTCGCTATGTGGGCGAATGGCGAAAAATGAGCATCGGATTCGTGATCAGCACGTCCGATAACCCCCGGGACCAAAATTTTACAAAATTTCAAAACTTTATGTTCAGCGGTGCACCATGATACCCCCCCCCCCCTCGCCATCATGCTTGATGAAACTCGGAGCAAAATGTACCCTGGAGGGCTTTTTAGCTGCACCTCTGCGTTTGCACACTATTTCTCTTTCTCTAACCAAACTCGTAGTTAACTCTGAGTTTCGCGAGCGCCTGAAACGCGCACCAAACTCAGAGTTAACGCGCAATGAGCTGCGCGTTTCGTCGTGTTTCTCGCGTGGAACGAGTTACGTAATGTTTCCATACTTGGCATAAAGTACGTCTTGCGCTGTATCCTGCCATACCACCCTTTCGCCAATTCGGTTTTTTTATGCAAATGTTAATGGTCCCTGAAAGATGCGTGTTAATTCGGAGTTAACATCGAGTTAACTCTGAGTTTGAGCTGCGCGTTTCGACAGGTTTACTACCGACCCTGATCTTTTATGGCAGTAATCTGGCATTCATCGTGCGCAGGTGTCAGGGTATTAGAACCTTTATAAACAAGATAAAGAAAGAAGAAAAAGATATCTAGAGTAGGATATGACGTGTATAATCTCAGATTCCCTCTCCTCCCCGCGGAAATGTACGTGCATATGGTCCTAAAAGTTTTTTGCTCTAAAACTAGAGCTATTTTCCTTTTTTGTCAGACCCTCAAGGCTATGTAAATATGCTTGAATGGTAGTATGCGCGATTTTATTAGAAAACTATTGAGTGATCCGTGCAGGGCCTAGGTCTCAAATGTCAGATAACTACAAATTTGCGTGATCGTCCATGTGTTAAACAGCCCCAATAGCGTGTACATCGTTAAAACAGAGGACGAGATTATTTTAATGACCTTCTCTTGGCTGTCGCTGTTGTTTACTTTGCAATTTCAATTTAATTCAACGTTCTTCTGCGCACATAGTAATGCTCTCAGTTCAAGTCCTTCCCACTTTCAAGTTCTGTTCCTGTCTCTAATATCCTAGGCCTTCTGTGTACTGCATACAATAAAGCATCAAATTTGTCTATCTACAGAAGTTAAGTCCCTTGGGGGCATCAAGCGTCTTCAATTTTCATTCACTCTTCGCGAGACCTGCCTGGATATGAACAAACTTATATCTGGTACAGTGACAGCTTGATTTTTGGCTGCCGAAAAAAGGGAATTGAACAAGCAATTTATATGCATGTGCATAGCACATGCCATGAAGAAAAATTAAAATTGATGTTCTGACAATTTATCATTCAAGAGCACAAAGACGAGCGATTAAACAATGTAATCTAAAAGAGGATGGGCACATTTGTTTTCACTCAACTCTATGACCTGCATAATAGGCTTATTATATAGAGTCAATACTATCTCACAAACCGACTATACCGACTAAACTGATTGAAGTCGACAGCAAATATCAGGTTGTAAAGAAAGTTCTGCCAATAGACGCTGAGCTAAATTGTTTTATTTATATTTTCATCATGAGTAGCTGTCAATTAACGATATTTTGGTCATTTACATTAACAACCTTAGGCTAATGATGAGGTATGTCATAGATGCTCCTTTTCAAAAAGCGCGCTAGCTGCGCTTCAAAACATGTGGAGCGTTCGTATTTTTTGGAACCCTGAATTCAATGAGTTATCTCTTGTTTGCAAGAAGATCCAAATACCGGAGCAATAATAGTCGGATACTGCTTCACCTAGCTAATACACAGTGTATAAAACGGATTTTCAAACCAAGCTTCTGGAACTTCTGCGCGTCCATAACCTAAAAAATGTGCCTTTTCGCAGACCTGAGCGCAACGGATTTTTCTCCTTTTTTGAGCATTTATTCCCAGTTGATCGTCATTCGTTCGAGCTGAATTGCGTGTTAGGTAGCTGACGCCATCGCACACTAAGAACACATTACAAACCAGACCCTTACATTCGCATTCATTCTTATTATTGACGAGAAGGATTGGCAGAACTTTCTTCACACCTAATATAACCATTGGATGCATTTTTGGGTTATGTTTGGAATAACCGATGACAAAACTCTGTCAAAATGAATTAACGAGATTTGAGGTGCGCATTCTAAGTAGATTAACAATCGAACTATGAAAGCCAGTCCGGATTAAGAGTTGACCTATCCGACATAACATGAGTTGTAGATGGAGTTCGCTGTAACAAGGGAGGGGTCTTTCGTGAGTAAATCGTCAATCTACGCCTTTCGGTTAATCAAGTTCACTTGAGTACCTAGGAAAGATGAAGTGCTGTTGATTTTATTTGAGCTGCAACCTTAAAGTCGTTTTTGTAAAGTTCTTTTTGCTCGAACACGACTTCAACACTCTCTTCTCGTTCACAATAGAAAATATACTGAATGGACCTTAAAATATTACGAAAACAACTGGAGGAAACGACTCAGCGCAAAATAACTGTGAACCAGTCCAATTGATCGACGTCTTCAGAAGCAATGGTACAGTAGCGATCGGACGGTTCAGACCGCAAATTTTACTGATTCAGCAGAAATTTGTCGCGAATGACAAAGAAGAAGCTGATAAAGTAAAATACAGAGAATATAGCATTTTTCTCCTCACAAATGTGCACGAATCCAACAACAAGTGTTTCTGACTTCATAAATTCTGGGAGGTATTCAGAATTGATATATTTCAAGCTTAATGTGGCTTTACTTTGGCATGAAACAGAGAGAGTGATTTCATTATTGCGATGTTTCCACCACTTCTTACAGGTGAATATATTAGGTCGTTCCGAAAGTAATTCGCTTTTTTCAAATGAACGCCACATTTCATGGAATCGAGATTTATAACAGATCTCAGGAGCATTTGATGCAGCATTTCATCCTCTCTTTCTAACGGTTGTAGTTTCTTTGCATAATATTCAATGAGCTCTCAAAAAATCACCAAAATATGCGACTCTTGTTTTTTGCCATGGTCAAGTTCGGCTATTTTTTCTAAATTTTCGTACCTATTTTCCGAAGAAGTACAAGCGGCTGGTAGATAGAGCAAATTCTATAGGAACAGAGTAAATTTTTCTTTTCCTTAGCTTGCTTCTTTGAGTTTCTGGAACCTATTTTTCAATGCCATCAAGTTCCATATTTGGTCATCTCAAACCTCACAGAACAATGACCGGCAAGCAACTCGGGTGTCGTTCGACGCAGCCTTTTCTCCTCTTTCTACAAGTTGTTTTTGTTTCCGATTCACCAAGTTTTTCGAGATAAAACCATCATAATTCAGGTTTTCTAGGGCGCCCCAGGCTGTACCCGGAATATTCGAAAGTTGCTAATCTGAAGCGGTGGATTCTCATTTAGTTTGTAAAATTAGTGTCAAACCATAACCCGTATTTGTAAGTTCCAAAATCCGATAATTTATTGGTGTTTGATGCATTTGCGCTGAGACGAGTCTGCTAAAATTCGGTGGTTCCATCAAAAAATCTGTACAAAAATTGTGACAAGCTCTGGAAAGTAGAAAAGAGTTGTGCTGTTTCCTGTAGGGTTTGCTTTATCCATCCATCACTTGGAGTCCTTCCGAGGATTGTTATGAAAATTTAGAAAAATTGTGAAACTTGGCCTTCTCAAAAAGCATGGGTCGCAGATTTTGATAATTTTTCGAAAGGTTATTAGATTTTGTGCAGTGGTTATATAACCATTAGAAAGAGAATGAAATGCTGCATCAAATGCTACTAGAACCTCTTACACATCTCTGTTCCACGAGCTGTGGCGTTCGTTTGAAGAAAGCGACATTACTTTCGGACGACCTAATAGTTTGCAGTATAAAATAATTAATCAATTAATATTTAATCGACTCTCACAATTAATCAAAGTAAATTCTGATATGCCTGCACAAGCTATACAACTGTTCTCAGCTAACTGCAAAAGTTTTATTAGCCGAACCTGTTGCCTTCATCACCACATTTTTGAATATGCACCGAAATATATGTCATCCACTTTGCCGTTTCGCCTAACAATTTGTTTCAAGTGGGAGGATTTCAAACGTTGTGAATTTGATATCATATACCAAATCATAATGGGTGATATCATGTTATGGAAAGGAATAACCTGTAACAGACTGTTGATGATTTGATAGCAATCATTTAAGACTTACATAGACGAGGAGATACAGAATTCGGAAAGTCACGTAATCGAACTTGTTTACCAGAAGGGCAAGCACTGCAGAAACCACGGTTAAGAAAGCGTAACTTATATTCTGGAATACAGAAAGCGGCAAAAGAAGTCTGATCACGGAGTAGTTTTCTGCCAGTTGGTAGGAAGAACTCAAATCGAAACGCTTGCTAAAACGTTTTTTTATGATCGAGTTGTCAAGAAGAATCCAAATAACCTTTTGATAGCGATGTGATTCCCAGTGAAAAGAGTTGCTACTCCAATTAAGGTAATTACGTTTGTAGTGCAAAGCAGATAACATAGTGTTGTTATTCTTTCCAGGCTTCGTGGCGAAGATGTGGTACAATAAGGCATTGCAGGAATCTCTTCTATACGAATAGTCCAAGAGACGATAGCTAATCCAGCTAGGACCTAACAAAATTTATTATAAAGTTACCGAAATCCTCAATTGTTCCGTCTCACCGAGATGAATGCGAAGATTATTCCCAACTTTTTACCATATGTCTCATAAATGCTGCGCTTCCACAACGCCACGTATCTCTCAGCTACTATAGCAAACTGCAATAAGAGTGATTTTTTGGAAAAATGTATTCCTCTCCAAACCAGTAATATCGCACCTGCAAATTAGCAAAGCAGATAGTGCAAAAGTTTGCCAGAAACCGATTAATAAAGCATGCTTCTCCCGAGAGCAGAAATTCACATGGATTTTGCAAAGTCACATAGTTTGCAAATTGATAAGCCTAAATCTCGGAGTTACAGCTCTGATATACGACTCCAGATAGATATTTTGCTGCTGATTCAAATAATTAATCTACTTTTCCCCGAACGCGCGCGGTGGTCATATTCTGGGAAGAGTAAGTGAAAACCTTGCTATGAGTTCATCCCCTCCCCCCCCCCCTCCCGAGAATCGATTGCGCAAGACTTCAAAGTCAATAAAAAAATTAAATTAATTATAAATGAATTATAAGAAACTGTACTATACCTCTTGATATTGGGATTGGTACAAATTCTATGGTTTTTTGAGATACTAAGTCAACTTTTGAAAAAAGCTTTTCGAAGGTCTTTTCATAATTTTGCAAAAATGTAGGGTGAAGCCGCGCACCTATCTTATATATAAAGCTGAATGTCTGTATGTCTGTCTGTATGTCTGTACGTATGTGCGGAATAGAAATTTTTATTTCTGGACCGATTTGGACCAAACTTGGAGAGGGGGGTAATCGAGCATGCTGATCACCCCGGAGGGGTTGATCAGCATGCTCGATTACCCCCCTGTGCAAAATCCTAGCCCCCTAGCTCAATTTTTGCAAAAAATCGATGAAATCGACATCGATCGATAACGAAAATGGACTATGACACGCTCCCTGCCCCGAAGTGTATGTGTGCAAAGTTTGGTCCCGGGCGGAGCCGGGTTTGCCATCTACTTTCAAATAAAATTCATCCCTCACCATCGAGTGGAAATCTTGAAACCGCCACTGGTATGTACTGCTTGTAGAAAAGTCTAATATCAGGTTGTTCATATTCAATGCACGTTTTCCCTACCTCTTTTTTCAAACGCTAGTTTTCAAAGAAAAATCGTTTTTCCCTAGAACCATCTAAATTATCAGAAAGTTCGTTTTTTCTACTTTCAAACACATTTTCATTTCCGGAGATCTTTGTTCAGGCCGAAGCTCCGTGCCTTCAAATGTGAGGAACTCGAACTTGAAATTTTTTCCTTTCATTCGACTTGCCCTATTTCCATGAAAAATGCTCAAATTTGTTTCAAAAAATATGTGTTATAATCGCGGAGGTTTGTGCTACAAAATGCTCGCCAAGGCTGAATTTTTTGACATTCCTGGGCTGAGAAGCTTTGACTCGAACTTAGCTGAATGCTGGGATCACTCGGAGCTTTATAAAATGCTTACGTGAAAAGCAATTACAGAACTTTCACTTGGTTTTGGTAGAGTAGACCAAGTACTAATAGTAGGAAAACGGCAGAATTTTCTCGTTTCTCAAATGAGAAAAAATTGGAGGAATCTAAAAAACAGATTTTTGCCTTTCTAAAACAGGAGAAAATGGTACTTTTGCTTTCTTGACAATATTTTAATCGCAGAAAATTTTTGGTAAAAGCCAAGTTCCACGCTACTACTGAATCGACCATCGGCTACACAATGAGCAAAGTTTGCTCCAATCTAGTCCTTTTGTGAGTAAGTTATGCTTCTTCAATCTAGAGCTTTCCAGGCAAAATTCTCGGTAAATTTTGAGCCGCAAAATCTTTCCCGTGGTGAGTGCAATCACACAAAAGTACACTTTGTGTAGCTAAAAGTTTGCTGTTTGCAATAGTTTTTGTTGCGCTCAGAAAGATTGTTTTGGAAAAAAATTATCTTGATTAGAAGTGGAAGTTGAGAAAACCTGCATCAATTCTAAACCAACCTAATATAATTTTGAAAAAACTGCGGCTGTGGAAATCTACGCTACACATGCAGTAAGATGGGGTTTAACTCTGAAAAGACAATAATATTTTTAAGGAAAAGAGAAGAAACGCATTGACATAGTCCAGCGCTTCTGAATTCCCCCACTGCAATCGTCAGGGCCAAAAGCGCTTACTGGCTCTTGCCATGGTCCTGCTGCAAATCCATTTCAACCTTCATTTGCGTGATCATACACGGGCTGCACTTGGGCAACATGATCAACCCCTCTGCAGCTGAACCCTTTCGTACCGGAGATCTTCTTGAAGGCCTTCAAACAAGCTCTCCTAGCACAAGTCATGAGATAGTTGACTAAACTACAAGCAAAGAACGCTGCTCTTTCTGCAGGAAGAACTATATACTCGGTTTTAATCCCAATCAGGCCAAAATTGACATGGCGGAAAACCCTGTCGCTAGGGTATTGTGTCACGTCTACGGCTCGACTTCTCGGCTCTCTCTTCTCTCCAATCTTTTCGCTCTCCCCGACAGTGCTCAATGCAGGGCAAAACCCTAGCGTTGCGCATACAAATTTACGACATTTTCGGCCTGGTCTCGTCTGGGACAGAATGTAGTTCACTTGGCAGTGCACTAATAACCAAAGATCCATCCCCGCGTATGTTGATACGAGAAACAGAAAGGAACAGCGCTCACATCCCTGTTCCGCATAACGAACAGCAACGTTCGCTTACTCCGATGTATGAATGTGCACCAACGCAAACGAATTTGGCGTTCGACTACTTTTTCTGAGAAAAGATCGTTTTTTGATGTGAGTTTGTGACACGTTAGTATTTTCATATGGGTGGGGGAACGAAAGCCGCCAGGTCCAGCCGCCTCCGCGGACTGCTGGTCCTGGAACGACATGCAACAACGCTGTGAAAGGACCAGCTGGCCGCGAAAGGCGGCTGGACCTGGCGGCTTTCGTTCCCCCACCCTTTTCATATTTATGTGCTGCTTTTACCTGCAATCCGATTGTAGTGATAGAGTGCACAATGTATAACAGCAGCATAGCCAATATCAAAATCTGAAACAATTAATTGCAACATCACAAAATTCTTGTTTGTAAGGGGCAAAGCTATTTGAAATTTTAAAAATAATTGAGCGAAATTCTATCATTCTCACAAAGATTTCTTTTGTTGAGATAGTGGTTCAAAACCTATTTCCTAAGATGTTCAGAATTTCTTAGCCTTGGAACCTGGCTTTCCATCACAATTTTTGAGAAAAAATGAGACCGAACTCAATCATCGAACTTACCTTACAGTTGACATGAAAAGTCAAATGTCCGCATTTCACAATCACAAATGTAGAAATGACAATGGACAACACACTGGCAACAATGTGTGAACACAAAGCAGTGAGAAATCCAGTATTTTTGAAAAGATAATTCCATGTTGAACAGTTCATACGCTTCGTCTAAACCAGATGTTTACAAGAAGGAACATCACGGAAAAACTCAGTTGGTAAACACATGAATTTAGTAGCAGTAATATAAACAGAGCTGACTTGGAAGCACTAGTTACAAGTAGCTGCTTATGTCATACATTCAAAGCTTCTGATTGAGGCATCAGATTATGAGACACACAATCAAAACATCCAGCTTGTCCGATATTATGCTGGCAACACATCAAACACACGAAGCCTTTTTTTTCAAACATTGTCAATTCAGGTGAAATCAGGGCTTGGCACGAGGGTGGCATATGTTAAAGTGGATGTTTTCGGAATAAAAGCAAAGGGGCTCTCGATAGTTCGTTTCCTATGCACAGTAAATCATCAGCTCTCACCCCGATGCATTGATATGGTAATAGTCTGAGGCCTGGTGGACAAGGCTTTTTGCAGGAACGAAATGTTAAGATTTATGGAAAAATTTTGTGGATGAGGAGTGTTTCAAGCTTTTTCAAAATTTCCCATGTATTAGGCTGGACCGAAAGTTCGTTCGCACCATTTTTAAAAATTCATAACTCTTTGAATTCTCAATGAATTTGTGCGGACAAAATTTTGCTCAAGGGAAAAACTCATGCTTTTTGCATCTGCTCCTGAATTGTTCGTTAATGTATACAAATGAAGGAGATAGAACCTCAAAACCGAAATCACTCAAAATATGAATTTTTCGGGAGGGTCATGAAAAATCGGAAACTTGCAACAAAAATTGGAGCAGTCGGTATTGTAGGTTCTTTCACCAGCTTTTTCTAACTATGCAAAGTTTGCGCCGATTGAGCGTCTCTCGAAAAGTTATTATTTCCCTGAAAAATGCCAAAATAATTCAAATTCGCTCTTTTGTATTGCTTGTTCGAACCATAACCTTTTATAGACACGCTCAATCGGCGCAAAATTTGCACTTAGAAAGAGCTGGTGAAAGAACCTACAATACCAACTGCTCCGATTTTTGTTGCAAGTTTCCGATTTTTTATGATCCTACACGAAAATTTAAAATTTCGAGTGATTTCGGTTTTGAGCTTTTATCTCTTTCATTTGCACACATTAACGAACAATTCAGGTACATATGCAAAAAGCATGAGTTCTTCTCTTAAGTAAAATTTTGTCCGCACAAATTCGTTGAGAATTTAAAGAGTTAAGAATTTTTGAAAATGGTGCGAACGAACTTTCGGTCCAACCTAATATTTTCTCTGGTTTTTATTTGTCCACGATCATGGTTGCCTGATCTGGCGCTCCCTGTGGTAGCATTACAAGGAGCACACACTTTGAAAGGAAATGTTCCAAAATTGGATAATTTTGAGCAAAGTTCGTCTAACAAAGGAACAATCCCAACTTAAGGTGGCGAACTGGTATGAACCGCATATCATTAGTAAATAAATCTTCCGTATCTGCGATGCCGTTGTCTGGAAGAAGTTATGAGCGATTAAAAATATGAAGTCATTGTTTCAATGCATAAGGTGCTTTGAAATCAACTCTAGGGCTGCATGACGTGCGCGCTATTGAGTGTACTTTCAAGGATGCTTACATTCATAGGAAAAGCTTGGAAGTATTTTCGAACAATTAAAAAACAAATCAATTTTTTGGTAAAAGCTATGAACATTGAAAAGTCCAAATTTGGCAGATATAGCGCGCCATACCTCAAGAATTGATCAAAAACACTTCTTTGTTGTTCCGTTGAATGTAAACATTTTTTGAAATCAGTACACTCAATATCATGCTAGTCATGCATTCCCATGTTGGATTTCAAAGCACAGTATGCATAAAAACTTCAATGTCTCTACACTTAACCGCTCTTAACTTTCTCCAGGATAACGGCATCGCAGATATAGAAGGTAGATTTGGAATCAGCTCATTAAGACGCATCTAATGGTATGCGGCCCATTCCAGTTTGTCACCTTAACTTAGGATCGTTCCCTTGTAAGATGTTCCAAGTCGTGCCTGGGTCTCCACCTCGATAGCTGTCAGAATAGCCAAGCATCATGCCCTATGTCCTCTGTTCTTCTCGCAATCCTTGTATAATATAAACTGGAAACATCCGGCGAGACGACGAAAACTACACATGGATCACCTACCCCGGCCACCCCCCTTCAGCGTTGCGGAGGGCGAGTTGTTGACAGTGTGAGCGCGCGAGACATCACACCCTCTCGCAGAGGTTACAGACAATGAGATTTTTAGAGGCGCGGTGTACTCCGAACCCCAGACAAGTTAGAGAGGAGAGGGTTGTCTCGACATGTGACTATTGATCGCACCCTACACTGCATGCGATGACGGCGCTTGTTTTGACTTTGCATGCGATGACGAATCGTGATGAAATACCGTATGCTCGGTTTGATCACAGCTTTCACAGCTGTAGCAATTTCTACTGTTTACATGCATATTTCCCCTTCTTTTCATGGCCTTACCTACGATCCATGTTCATTCTAAAGATTCCCTTGCTACCCCTCCCCTTCCCATTTTGCATAATAGTTTGATATGAAATCTGAGAATTGCAACTCTCCTTAGAATAGTCGTCAGAACTCAACATTTTGTGAAATGTGGACGAAACTCACAATCCGAAGAGCAATTGAACAGCAAAAAATTGCATTGTTCGCAGGCTTTCTTTGTGGCTGAGCAATTTTTGGATTGAAAAATGTTGTTTTCCCCCCACAATTTCCATGAAAAACGGTGAAAACCTCAATTTCGACAGATTTTTCGCCACAGAAAATGCCTTTGCTCCCGGAATGAAGACCCAGAATGGAACTGTGGTCTCGCTGGTTGAGCTCCGGCAGGCTCTCTTTGTGAGTGAGCAGTTTTTGGAGCGAAAAGTTTTCTTTTTCCCCGCAATTTCGACAAAAGAGGGTAAAAATCTCGATTTCGACAGAATTTCAGCCACAGAAAATGCCTTTGCCCCCGGAAAAAAGACCCAGCACAGAAGCTGTGGTCTCGCTGGTTGAGCTCCGGCAGGTTCTCTTTGTGACTGAGCAGTTTTTGGATTGAAAAATATTGTTTTCCCCCACAATTTCCATAAAAAACGGTGAAAACCTCAATTTCGACAGAATTTTCGCCACAGAAAATGCCTTGGCCCCCGGAAAAAAGACCCAGCACAGAAGCTGTGGTCTCGCTGGTTGAGCTCCGGCAGGCTCTCTTTGTGAGTGAGCAGTTTTTGGATTGAAAATTATTGTTTTCCCCCCACAATTTCCATAAAAAACGGTGAAAACCTCAATTTCGACAGAATTTTCGCCACAGAAAATGCCTTGGCCCCCGGAAAAAAGACCCAGCACAGAAGCTGTGGTCTCGCTGGTTGAGCTCCGGCAGGTTCTCTTTGTGACTGAGCAGTTTTTGGATTGAAAAATATTGTTTTCCCCCACAATTTCCATAAAAAACGGTGAAAACCTCAATTTCGACAGAATTTTCGCCACAGAAAATGCCTTTGCTCCCGGAATGAAGACCCAGAATGGAACTGTGGTCTCGTTGGTTGAGCTCCGGCAGGCTCTCTTTGTGACGGAGCAGTTTTTGGATTGAAAAATATTGTTTTCCCCCCGCAATTTCCATGAAAAACGGTGAAAACCTCAATTTCGACAGAATTTTCGCCACAGAAAATGCCTTGGCCCCCGGAAAAAAGACCCAGCACAGAAGCTGTGGTCTCGCTGGTTGAGCTCCGGCAGGTTCTCTTTGTGACTCAGCAGTTTTTGGATTGAAAAATATTGTTTTCCCCCACAATTTCCATAAAAAACGGTGAAAACCTCAATTTCGACAGAATTTTCGCCACAGAAAATGCCTTTGCTCCCGGAATGAAGACCCAGAATGGAACTGTGGTCTCGCTGGTTGAGCTCCGGCAGGTTCTCTTTGTGACTGAGCAGTTTTTGGATTGAAAAATATTGTTTTCCCCCACAATTTCCATAAAAAACGGTGAAAACCTCAATTTCGACAGAATTTTCGCCACAGAAAATGCCTTGGCCCCCGGAAAAAAGACCCAGCACAGAAGCTGTGGTCTCGCTGGTTGAGCTCCGGCAGGCTCTCTTTGTGAGTGAGCAGTTTTTGGATTGAAAATTATTGTTTTCCCCCACAATTTCCATAAAAAACGGTGAAAACCTCAATTTCGACAGAATTTTCGCCACAGAAAATGCCTTGGCCCCCGGAAAAAAGACCCAGCACAGAAGCTGTGGTCTCGCTGGTTGAGCTCCGGCAGGTTCTCTTTGTGACTGAGCAGTTTTTGGATTGAAAAATATTGTTTTCCCCCACAATTTCCATAAAAAACGGTGAAAACCTCAATTTCGACAGAATTTTCGCCACAGAAAATGCCTTTGCTCCCGGAATGAAGACCCAGAATGGAACTGTGGTCTCGTTGGTTGAGCTCCGGCAGGCTCTCTTTGTGACGGAGCAGTTTTTGGATTGAAAAATATTGTTTTCCCCCGCAATTTCCATGAAAAACGGTGAAAACCTCAATTTCGACAGAATTTTCGCCACAGAAAATGCCTTCGCTCCCGGAGTGAAGACCTAGAATGGAAATGAGGTCTCGCTGGTTGAGCCTCGGCAGGCTCTCTTTGTGACTGAGCAGTTTTTGGATTGAAAAATATTGTTTTCCCCCACAATTTCCATGAAAAACGGTGAAAACCTCAATTTCGACAGAATTTTCGCCACAGAAAATGCCTTTGCTCCCGGAATGAAGACCCAGAATGGAACTGTGGTCTCGCTGGTTGAGCTCCGGCAGGTTCTCTTTGTGACTGAGCAGTTTTTGGATTGAAAAATATTGTTTTCCCCCACAATTTCCATAAAAAACGGTGAAAACCTCAATTTCGACAGAATTTTCGCCACAGAAAATGCCTTGGCCCCCGGAAAAAAGACCCAGCACAGAAGCTGTGGTCTCGCTGGTTGAGCTCCGGCAGGCTCTCTTTGTGAGTGAGCAGTTTTTGGATTGAAAAATATTGTTTTCCCCCGCAATTTCCATGAAAAACGGTGAAAACCTCAATTTCGACAGAATTTTCGCCACA